GATTATTTCATAATCTAGCACAATGGTTGGACGACTTGCTGGAAAGAATGCGCTCGTTACTGGTGCTGCGGGGTAACTTTCTCCCTCTCCCTCTTTCCCTCCTTTGGCAATGTGGGAAAGAATGAAGCTGACAATACTATGTTATGTGCAGTGGCATCGGTCTCGAAACCACCATCCTCATGCTCCGCGAGGGCGCCTCCGTCCTGATGACCGACATCAGCGGCCCCGGGCTCGAAAAGGCCCTGAACAAAGTGAACGAGGTCGTGCCCGAACGTTCCGGCAAGGTGGAGACCCGCGTTGTCGATGTCTCCAAGGAGGCTGATGTGGAAGCTGCCGTGGGACATTTGGATGCCTGGGGTGGATTGGACGTTATTTTCAACAACGCGGGTATTATGCATGCCAAGGATGGCGACTCGGAGGAGACTCCCGAGGCGATCTGGGACTTGACGATGAACATTAACGTCAAGGGTGTGTGGTATGGATGCAAGCATGCTGTCAAGAGTCTGAGGAAGCATGGCAAGAAGAAGGGAAGTATTATCAACACGGCTAGTATGGTCGCTTTGGTTGGTGCTGCTACGCCTCAGTTGGCGTATACGGCTAGTAAGGGGGCGGTGTTGGCTATGACTCGCGAGTTGGCAATTGTGCATGCTAGGGAGGGTGAGTTGCTGCTGCGCTGCTGCTGCTGCTATGTGTTGGGTATGGTGCTGATGATGATGCAGGTTTCCGGTTCAACTCTTTGTGTCCCGCTCCGCTTAAGTGAGTATATACCCTCTGTGCATGCTGGGATGAAGCTAATGAATGCAGCACCCCCCTTCTGCAGGACTGGCTCGGTGATGACAAGGAGAAGCGCTTCCGTCGCGAGGTCCACTTCCCCACTGGTCGTTTCGGAGAGGCCATTGAGCAGGCCCATGCCGTCATCTTCCTGGCTAGCGATGAGAGCAGCTTCGTCAACGCGGCTGACTTCGTCGTCGATGGTGGTCTGACCAAGGCGTATGTGACTCCTGAGGGACCTGCCACTGAGGCCCCGAAGAACCTGGGTCAATAAGCAGCGACCTGTCTGGTCAGGATGCTATGAGTGATGATTGTATGATAGACTGGTTGATTAGGCAAACGATATCCATATTTGATTCCGTTGCATGGCGCGGCAGATGTTCCATGGACCGGTTTCGTCCAGCCGCATCTGCCACATGTGTTCCAATATGAGTAGAGTTCTTTGCATGTTGCCAAGGCCAAACGTGTTTACCATAACGGTGAGCCGGCGGCGTAGACTATCCTGGTGTTCCGCATTGGTTAAGCACGACCCCACCACAGCAATCGGCCAGCAGAGGCCGGAGTTGATCCGCGCGGTCCCAGACAGCTGCCCTAGATAAGTCATCGCCTCTGTAATCGCGGTCTCGATCAGTCCCTGATACATGCCGTTCTCCGCCCGGGAGAATCCGCCTAGCGCGGTGTACAGGTAAAGGAGCATCGCTTGCTGGAAGATCCGCCCCGCCAGAAATACCTCCGGGCTAACCGAGGCATATGGTGTCCACCGCATGATTTGTACTTGCAGCGAGCTGAACATGGCAATATCATCCGCAGTGGGCATGGCTGGTCGGCCATCATGCATCATCCACTGCCGACCCAAGTCGAAAATACACGGTATTAGCAGCAGCAACTCCAGCCAGCAACCGCATAGATTCCCCACGTATTCCGATTGCAACAGCTGACGTGCCCTCTGTTCGAGATCAAAGTTCAGAAATAGTTGAGTACTAACGCGAGCATCCACTGAGATCATGCTCACGGCTGCAGTGTAGGTGTAGTATTCAATAACAAAGTCTTTCAAGTCTTTCGGTACCGCTGTATCGCTTTGTGAAAGCAGTCGAGTAAGAAGAGAATTAGCAGCAGTCAGATGGTCAAATATCGTGCCGTTCATATCGCCTTTGGCCGTCTGCAGCTGTTAGCCACGTTCAGATACCTTGTATTGTAGACATACCTCTGTAAAGCACATCACCAACGCTCCTACCGTCAGCATGAGCGGGTTTGACTCTTTCCCGTCGATAAAATCGGTAACGCCTTTTCGGAATAGCTGAAGGGCTGACGTGTAGTGTTTCTGTGCCACCTCGTCAGACTCCTTGTGACAGCGAAACGCCCGATGGGCGGCACTCTGCGTCAGAACCAGCTGGAGCAGAAGATCGCTGCTGAAAGCGAGTGGCACGATCTGGACCAAAAATGGATTGATCGGGGTAGACCCGTTGGCCATGCAGTCGGCAGTTGTCGCCAGATAGTGGCTCAGAAGCTGATAAGAGTCTGGTCCATGGCCCGGAAACATGGACAGGCTCCGGGGTAGTAGACTGCTAACGGAGGCATCCGTTCCCAGGACTTGGCTGTTGCCGATAGCAGAAGTCGGTGCAAAATCCATTGAGGTTAAGGGACCTGATGCAGAAGATTCGCGAGACGTGTTTTCTGGAGACTCCGACTCCCGTAGTATCTCCTCTGGGGAAGATGGGGAGGTAGAACGGGACTCGATCGAGCTGGACGATTCCCGATTCACGCTCATCTGTCGAGGGGGTCCATCTTCATTTGACTGTCGATCGCGATGGCCATCCTCTTCAGGCATGAAGGAGATATTGTTGGCTTTGGGTTGGCCTGGGATGATGGTCGGCCACTGGCAGGTGAGCTTATTCCGCACGCATCCCCCACAGATGGGTTTGGCTTCGTCACATTTCTTCTTGCGGCGTCTGCAGGCCCAGCAGCCAGTGCGGACGCGGACGATGGGGTCGGTACGCGGCCGTCTACTAGGCGGCATTGGCGTGAAATAAGGGGCTTAGCGCTAGAAGAGTGGGAGATTGGAGGGAATCGGTGCTATTTCAGAAGCATGGAGAGCGGATGGGAGAACAAGCGGAGACGGCGCGGGAAGCCGAAGATAATCCGGTGATTGGTTGGCGGGGCCGAAGTGGAGATTCCATTGATTCGGCTTCAAGTTGAACAGCCAGCATTGTGAGGGCGATCATTGTTGGTGTGCTGGAAAGGAACATGCAGTGGAGATCAGATGGCGTTTTGATTAAAAGATAACCATCCCCTATCCAAAGTGTCCGGATACCTGACCATGTCAGATGCCAACTGGTTAATGGTACCACTGACAAGGGCAACATATTATATCAACTACAGACAATGAACAAAAGCCTGAATTTCTTTCTATCCAAAAGTTTAATGAATACACCAATATGACGTATCACCACCCCGTCGGTCTCGGCCAAACATCTACAATTGTCGATCCATCCCCATCCCGACTCGAATCCACCACTAGATACCACCCATACATAGCCCCCGTCACACACGCATGATTCGGATATATCCTGACAGTCTGTCCGACCTTGAGCGGAATCGCAGAGTTATCTCCTCCTTCCCAGGCAACAATCGCATGTTCCTGGCTGATCCGATCCACAATCAACCGCGATGATCCCTTCTCTCGTCTCCAATCTCCGACCACTCCCCATCCCGGATAGGACTTGCACGGCTCCCTCCCCAAAGCCAACGACCCAGCAGCCACTAAAGCTTCAGGCTTCGACCGCTCGGCATCATTATACACACTGCATACCTCAGCCACCACCGAGATGCCAACCTCTTTCTCTGCATCCGCAGTGGGATGGATACTGGTGCCCAATTGCTGCATATCCAGAACCGGATAGACACCCGCATGAAGCTCAACTTTGACCGACAACTCACCATCCACACCCTTCTCATGCAATAAGCTCTTCAGCCGCCTCGCCTCCTCATTTAGTTGCCCCTCCTCCTCAAGTAACTTCTTCACCACAACCACCTGCGGCGTAGCCCCAACACTAACCACTAACTCCCTCCTCTTACCACCGGGCAAAGTGAACAGTTCCTTATTCTTCCTCAATGCCTCCCGACATCCGGTGATCTCTTGCACCAAGAACCCCATCACCTCCTCTGGCGTATCACCCCCATAACTCAAACTGTTATGCGAGTAAACCCCAAGCAGAACCAATTCCCCCTTCCTCTCCCCCTCAATCACCTTCTCGATCAAACCCCCCTTATTCAGCATGGAAGGCGGGAGTCCCGCCCGATGATATCCAGAATCTACCTTGAGAAACACCGACGGCGCATGGCCCGCCAATTCTCGGAACTCGGTCAGATACGGCACCTGATCAGGATGATCGATCATGACAGAAATACTCCCCTCGCCTAGTTCGCGCGCTAGTGCAGCCAACCTGGGAACTTGTGAAGGTACAAGAGGTATGCCGTAGTGGACATTCAGCTTTCTCCCGGTGGCCCGGAGTTCCTTGAATAATGGGAGCAGAGTCTCCCCTTCCAGAAGGGTGGAGATGACGAAGTTTGCGGGTATGGATTCGTCCACTCCAACTTGAAGACGGGCGACTTGGGGTGTCTGCCATTACATTAGCTATCATATACCTTCGCATTGAGGGTTGGGTAAATGGGAGGAGCATACTTTGTGTGTCTTGACATGTGCACGGAAACCCACATTCAATGCTTTCACTGCATCCAACATGGATGCGCAATGGCGCTTGATGATAGCTACATCTAGGACAACGGCGGGTTTGGGGACGGAGCCAATGTCTTTACCAATGTAGTAGCGTTGGAGGGATTCTTGCGACGGTGGCGGTCTGGTTGGGAAGTCCATGATTAGACCTTTTTCTCTTCAGAAACTGACATTGGTATTGTCTTTGTAGTAAGTAGAGTTAAACCGTAGATCTGTGTAGAATGTATTGCAATAATCGGATATGTCAGTTGAAGTTGTCGATTGCCATTGAATCATAAGGTGGGGCAGTTTCGGTGAGGTGCGGGGGGAAGGTTTAGCCTGAAGTTTAGCCGGGTGTGCTTCTCATCCGCATGGATCGAATTAACTTTCTCCAAAGATATAACATTGACATACTTCACACAGGAGTAGACCAATCACTTGTTGATGTCTTCTAGAAAAACCCAGGATGAAAGTTCTCTGAGCTTCAATTCGTATCAAGCGTTATCATCAACATGGTACACTATTGAATTACTACACTTCCCTTTTCCCTAATCGCGCTGCGGACAGCATCACTATCCCACTATGAAGCACCCTTATCATGTCTAACCTTCCATAACTTAAGCGGAGATGAGTCACGCCTAGGGTTCCGCTTATACCTAAACTCCTCCATCAGAGACCTTGCCCCCTCTTGATTGATAGACCAATGCCAAGGACGAACTTGATCCGGAATCTCCACATTCTCCAGATCAACAGTCATCACCTTACTATACCCATGTTCCCGATCGCCACACAGTATAAAGTTATCCAACTTCTGATCACAATGAAAAGCTTTATACTTCGAAAGCTTATCAAAGACATCTTCCAGATATGCCTTGATCAGCTTCTCAGGGACTTCTTCGTTGCTGCGAGCCAGATCCTCCAAAGTAACCCCCGGGATATCTGATAATACCCGGGCAGGTATGCCATCGTAGTACCCCTCGCCGTAGAAGTATGGGATAATTTCCCCCTGGAGGTCTTTTAGTTTGGTGTAGGCTGTTTTTTCGTTCTCGAATTCTTCTTCCCAGTCTTCTTTTTGTTGCTTTATGATAATAGATGTGGTTGTATCTGGGATCATATGTCGATAGTATGATGGGTCTGGTTCGAGGTGAAAGCGGTACACTGTTCGACGTGGATCTAGGTGCTCGACCATTGTTGCTTTGATTTCATGGCCGTCTAGCTGGATGACCTACCAGGGTTAGTATAATCTAAGTCCCTGCTACTATGTATAGAATATCTTACTTTGGATGGTCCCATGGCCGTAGAGGAATAAGTCATGACTGCCCAAACTTTCTGCAGAAATCAAGAGTGCGCAGGAGGCTAGAGAAGAAAGAAAGATTTCTTAAATAAAAGCGATAGATGATAATCTACATCATGTGGTCTATCACTGCAAGGGGGAAAGCTATATAGTCTAGGTTGCAATTGTCAACCTAATTTAGGCTGCATATGAAGTGCTAGGGACCCGGAAACTTTCGGTTTTAACTTCCACATCACACTGGGTATGCTGAGTATGCAGGTAAACACTCTTCATCCTCCAGCTCTACCAGGTTTTGAGGCACGTCCTCCGATCTCGTAGTCAGACATGAGAATAGATGCCGAAGCAACTTGAGTCCCTTAATATCACGCCGACCAATAACTACGCCGTACTTGTCCATGTCCAGGACTAAGAATTTAGTGGTATAAATCGTGTTACGTCCATGAAAACACCAGTTCACCTCACTTTGAAATTATGCCGTAAGGGTCGTTTGATTTGCTGCATCACCGAGGATGGGGCGCAAGACCTTCGGCGTAATGGGTTGCAATGAAACCTCTAATTCCTGCGCAATTCTGAGAGACAGATAATTGGTTTCAACCCGTGTGTCCAGGTACACACGCACCGCTTTTTCCGAATTTGAGGAGTGGCCCCAAAGATAGGCGGGTTCTGAGAAATCGTCTTCCGAGTCCTCCACGATGTCGCCCAAAGCAATTGAAGGTGTTTGCTGAGTGTCAGAATGCTCTTCACCAAGCTTGGTCTCGCGATGTTCCATGGGTATCTTAAGCTCCTCAGCCTGCTCTCCATCATATTACTCTGTATTGAGAGGCGTCGGGGATAGAAATTCTGAATCTGCAATTCCTTCAATCTTCTGTCCTTGAGAGTCTATCTCATCAGCCTTTCTAAGTTCGTCCAGTTCCATTTGCCTCGATCTGTCAGAATCAAGCTCAAATGAAGACGACGCTTCTGAGCTGCAAACAAAGTAAGCATTTTGCTGGAAATAGCCATCGTACCATAACCTTTCCTCTCGGTGAGGTCGTTCTATGCTAGGAATCGTCCGAATGTTATTCTTAACCAGTAGAGCTCCTGTTGGAATCAGAAACATAACTATCTGCTTCTTCCAGATTTAGGTTCCGCAAATGAGAGCTGACATCTCCCGAGGGCGAGGCTGGTGTAAGTGACCGTTGTTGGCTCGGTCGTACATAAGAGGGACGTAGAGGATCGGCGAGACCTTCTGGGGTAGCTGAGTTGAAGCCGTCGACGGACGAATTCGGGGTCAGGCATTCGGGGGACGATGGGCTGCAGGAGAAGGAAGGTAAACTCGACCGAAGGATGAGGCTGATCTCTGTTTATAGAAGATGGGGTCGCTTCCACGCTCCTGGTGGGAGTAGTACCGTGTTGATCCGTGGTATCAGCCATGACGCTGTTGTTGCACACCTGATGTCCACTATGCGGAAAGTAGTTGTCGAGAATATCAGTGTCCGGGGACTCGTGAACATTATAAGAAAAGGAGGCTGAGCATGCGGGGCATTGTACGGCGCCTATGAGCGTTTCATGTGGTGGAGAACACTGCGTGGGAAAGAGCCGTCTCTTCTAGCCTCGGCGCCAAATATTCCTAGCCAGAAGCACGCAACACTAGTCAATGTATCACGAAGGTTGCAGGGGTCGGTCGCTTCGATTGCCCTCCTTGGAATAAACTGGAAGTGCACTTAGGATAAGGATAGTTCTCCAACTTGATCCCATTGCTGCCAACGGATAACTCGGATACCTGGGTATGTAGGACCCTCATGCATTTAGTTGTGGTAAAATGACCGTTTCTGACCTCAACATGATTGTTACATCGTAGACTACCGGACGCTCAGTTTGTTGCATGTCTTATCTGCGAGAGCCAGGGCTGCCCATAAAAGGCTTCTCCTTATAGTATCGCTGCTTTCCTGGAGGGCTTCTTTAAACCTGTTGTTTGTCCGTTGTCCATTGTCATTTTCGCTGCAACCCGCCGTTGAACACGCTGCTGTTAATGCCGGTATAGAAACACTGGACTATAGCATGTCGTTCCTTAATCTCCCAGGTGTGCGCTGGTGACCCATCAATCCTTCAGGACACTCTCTCCCTTTGTACTTACTGTTTGCGAGTCTGAAAATGAGATAACAACCAGGACTGTCGATCTAGCCAGTCGGGGTTGGACGCTTAGACAATAGGGCAAAGCCGCGACGGCCCGGTGCAACCTTAAGAGCTACTAACCGTTCAAGCACTTTACTCGGTCCGGAAATACTACGAGTCAGCTGTCGTCCTCCTGACTAGTACGCATTAGTATCGACAGATACTGGACCTCTTCTGCCACAGCCTTGTTCCATATCCTAATCGTGTGCTTTCACAATCATAGCCCCGCGATGGTCGTGATCATTATCAGCAGCCAACCAATAGTGATAAGTTATACCTAGTAGTCATGCACGGCATGGCCAAGGTATACTCAGCAATGTGATAAGGGACCTGGAGGAAGAACTCAAGAGACTCCATTTTGAGAATATCGTCCCCAATATCCTCGCCCGGTGTTTTCAATAACAACAGCTGATGATTTGAATGACGGCAAGTCTGCTGTACTGTATAAGCCGGACGCTTCAGATTCAGACAGAAGAGTCATCAATACCCGTCGCCCAGTTCCTGAGAAACTTCAGCGGCTCAGATTCCCACTTGCTAAAGATGGGCAGATAGTGAATACTGCCATCATAGCATTTATGAATGGCCTTACAACTGACTTTGATTATACCAATATTGTGACTGGATGCTGCACAGGGTATTCTTTCTTTGCCAAAAAATAAAGCTGCTAAGAATGAGGCTCAAACGGACGGATATCTCGTCGACGGCAATGAGAATCCTTCTTAATCTCTCATCGAGGTTAAACCGGTCACTCGAGCAATACATGATGCAGATTGAAGTGGGAATTCAGATGTCGGTTTGGATTAGAAAGGAAGTTGAAGCTCTTCTAGACACGCCGTAAGTTCCTTCCTTCTACCAATACCTGTCTTTCTTCAACCGTATATTGACGGCATATAGATGCTCTGATATATCTCATGATCGGCACGAAATATTCATCACATTTGCAGAGCATAATAACATAGATCGCTGGAGGTCCGCATACACCATACTCACGTCAATATTGATAATTCATCAATTAATATGGACCGTGGGATATTACCATTTCCGGACCCACAACCTATTGCGATGCTGGTATCACGAAGGCGAGGCCAGATTCATCATCCAAATATCTGAACACTCTGGTGTGCCTTTGACTTCTTATGCTACCTGTCGGGTTCTATAGTAGTCAGTGTCGGTCCTGAGTTTGTACTGATTTCCTTACAACACCTCACACCTATATCTTGACACTTTATGATTCAACCTTCAATACTACTATATAATCCAGTGTTGAGTAGATTTATAAAGTTCTTATCCGTTCTTGAATACATTGTGCACCCTGCTGTCGTGTGTTCTAGCACTATCCAACATTCGTTAAGTAGCTTCTTTATTTGTCGGCCAGCTCAACTCTTTGTAGATTGATTAAACGAAATTTCTAAGATCTAATCACATTCCCACTCCCCGGATAAGTCTAGTAGGTAGACCAACGGAATCTAGTAGAGACTCGATGATACAGTAGCTTGCATATGCTTCAATCCTCTGAAAGCAACGGGTTATGTAAATTTCGGTATCAGTGAGTTGTTCAACTTGTCCTATATATAACTAGTGTATTCGACTACACTGCTTATGGTTTTTATGAAGTCGAAGAAGTTATTCCAAAGTAGTCTCGTAGTCACTTTTGACTTTAAGTTTCGGGTGGAATGGGAGGAGTGCTTTCTCGTTTGTACCCATGACCACTAATGAGTAGCGGCAGCGCCCCGTATCGAGCGCTCTACACGGTGATACTACTTAGCGGGACAAGACAACCAGAACCAATCATGCTAGGGATCATCAGGATCAGCTTTGTACCCTTGTCAGTTTTGTCAGATGTTAATCAGCATCCTGCCTGTTCCGTAGAGACCGTACTTTCGATATACTCTACAAAGTAAATAGTCTTACTGATTTCATGCCCAACTGACTAGGAGTACGGTCTCAAAAATGAGGTGCAGACTCCCCTTACCTAGATAGGCAGATTCAAAACAAGCGAAATCAACGCGTACCGGATCTATGCCTATTCACAAATATACTTTTCAGCTTTGGGCAAGTACTTGAACAGGTTCAAGTAACAAGAACGAGAATTTGAGTCAAAAGCCATGGCGGGGTGGAAGTCTAAACGGATAAAGGTTCAATAGCTGTCCCCGTGGCTGGAAATAGTCCGAGCATGATTTTGCTGAATGGGAGGGTTGGGATCCCCGGATCAGCGAGATTGATCACGGTGGAATAAAATGCAAGGGAAACCTGGCCAGCCAGTTGTAAGTGACTGCTGGCAGTGGTAGATTATAGGTTGAGTTTAGGTTGGCAAATAGGTGTCATGTGTTTATTCGGTTTTTTTTTCTTTTGGGGGAAGGGAGGGGAAAGGTAAGTAGGTTTCGGTTATTGAGTTCGGGTTGAGAGGTACGAGAGTTTGGGGGGGTTAGGTAGCTCTTGTATGCAGGGAGGTGAGAGATAGCTACGATTGCTACTCTGTAGGGTATAGTATAGAGGGAGAGAAGAAGAGGGGGGGAAAGAGGGGAACACGCATGCATGATTTGGATGCGGTGTACATGCCTACCTGCATTACAGACGGGATGTCATACAAACAACGAAACGGGCATCCCTGCTGCAAGAGACAAACCTGCAGGTAACAGCTGTGGTGGTGGTGGTTGAGCTGAGAGTGTAGAGCGGGATACCAATGTGTGGATCAACCGGAAGAGACGGGAAGGGGTCGACCAAATATCCATGGCCATCCAATTCCTGCTCCCATTCAGCCTTGTGGGTCCGGCATCACAGGTCCATTGTTGAGTCACGAAGCCTACTCTGAACAAGCCATATCGACGAAGGGAATGGAAGAGAGGGAGGGATGGATAACCACGGAAAGGGAGGAGCAGGTGACTGCTAGAAACCGAGGAGGGATGATCTCATTCTGCCGACCGTTCCGGGATGCGAGGATCTGCAGAAGTACAAAGCACGGCGGAAGATTTAGTCTTGCTGTAGCTCGAAGCTTCTCGAGAGAGGAGGAGAGAAAGAGGGAAGGTGGGATTGTGCATTGACTGATTATTGATCCCGCTGGAAGCCGGCGGGTTGCACGATGGGAGGTGGCGTGGTCGCCATTGGTCTGTGCCGAAGCTGGTGGAAGCTGCTTGATGCCCGCTGAGTAAAGTGCTGAGTCACGGTGAAATCATACATTCTTGTAATTGATTATTCAGTGTGAAGAACCTAGATGATTCTGATGATGGAATGGATGATAGAATGGAATGAATAATGTAGGAAGAATGATGGAAAACAGTAGAAATGAAGCCGGAAGGGAGTATGAGGATAGAGAAGGAAAGCAAAAGACCGAAGGAAATCCGGCCAAGATCCAGACCGGGCGATCCCCCGTGACGCCAAGCCATGACGATGGAAGTTGAGTGGCTTCACGCCTTCATATCTTCAATCAATCACCTTTCAGTCACGCAACCTGGAAAATCATGAGTTGACCAACAACATCTCGCCTCCCTTGCCTGGTCCGTTCCGGCTCTGTCCATCTGGCTCCATCCATCAGTCCATGGTCCACGCAGATCCTCACACTAGCCATGCCGGACCTGATCCCCGCCCCGGCTGTGATGCAGACCCAGCTGCGTTGTAGCGCTTGTTGTTGCTGCTGTGATGGCCATCGCGTTCCATCTCGGTTGGGCACCCCTCTTGTCCTAGGAACAGTATGATGCTGTCCCCAACCTTGGTATACCTCTGTTGATGTGGTCTTCCTGCACAACTGCGGCAATCCGGTCAGAACAATCACACAACCCCTACTACCTTCCCGGCGAAACGACTGGTCCGCCTCGGAATTGACTTACTTCATGCAGAGGAAATTATGACGCATCTGGGGGAAAGCGCAAAAAACCCGCCAAAGCTGGCTCTCCTTCCGTCGGCGTCGTTCAGCTTTCCCTGGACAGGCCACTGCACAGGGCCAGAAAAACTTTTTAGCTCAAGCTTCAAAAAAAAAAAAAAATAAAATAAAATAAAAAAAAAAAAAATAATACAACATCCTCTGACGTAAAAGATACGCCCCGTTAATTCGGTCCACCATGCACCCTTCCGTTCTATCCATTCAAGCCGGCCAGGCGACATATAAAGAACCTTGTCCTGGTCTCCCACTCCTGGGTATTCTCTTCCCCTCTTCATCATCCATTCATCAGAGCCGGACCAACCAGTCTGTCAGTGGAACTGAGCTTCTCTTTGCGCCTCGCCCAATAAACTACCAGTTGCCCTCTTAATTCACTTTATTACCATCTCTATACACTTTCAGTCCAGTCAACCGCAGCCATGTTCTCCAGTACCGTGGCCCGTCCACTACAGCTGGCCACCCGGTTCATGCAGTGGGCCAGTGCAGTCATCGTGATGGGTATCACTTCATACTTCATCCACAAGGGGCCTCGCGGCCAGCACACTATCTACTGGGAAGTCATTGTAAGCATGCTCCTATCCTTGATGTAAACAAGTCGAACCTTATGAGACTAACCATGGATTAGTCGACCATGTCTGTTGTCTTCTTCCTGCCCGCCTTCATCTCGCCGTTCATGCCCAATGCCCTAAGCAAGTTTGTTCTGATCATCGATGTCATCTTCTCGTACCTGTATGTGCCATCCATCCAACCATGCTATGTGCTGTTACTGACCATGACCATAGCTGGCTCACGGCTTTCATCTTTGCCGCGCAAGACTACAACTGGCACAACTGCGCCTTCAACTCTCCCCCCGGCCTGTCCTGCTCTAAGAAGAAGGCCAACGAAGCTTTCATCTTCCTGACCTTCATCTTCACCTTCTTCGCCATGTTCCTCGAAGTCGGTGCGCTCTGGGCCTACAAGCGCGAGAGCACCCCAGTCCGGGAGAAGAACACTGGTGGCGCTCACGGCGGTCCTGCTGACGCGCCTCTGGCCACAGCCTAGACTTCAGACTCTACCTGATAATACCATCTCGTCGTGTGACGGCGACTACATATGCCAACGTCCTCTCTTGCGCAGCATCCATCCGTCTGCATCTACATCCTGCACAGGAAAGAGAAGTCGTTCATCTCCCGCGAGATGAGGATTCGATACCCCTTTCTTGTCTCTCTTTTATACGACCATGATACCACAGTTGACCTTGGCTTTGATTGAACATCTACCATTAATACTGATGATGCTTATACTTCTGATATCCCTGCATACTAATGTCCCTTCGTTAATGTCCGTACGACTTGAACATGCTTGAACGACCTGAAGAACACGGGAATAGGTGGTGGGTGTGGGTGTGTGTGTGGATGTGCATAGATGGACCGGGGTTGTGACTAGGATCGTTACTGTTACGAATACTATCTTTACTAATTACCACAATAATCTTGTCTTGTCATTCTTTCCAGATCTGGTTCTATTCTATTCTAATGGCTCTTATCCCGCGCTATGCTGCGTCAGGGCCATCCATCCCATGTGTAATAAAAGTACGATAATAATATACGTCTGTGTCTAAAATGAAGAGATATCAAACGATGCAGTCTTACCTTAAAACAATGACATAAGATCAGTGAAACTACGAGGAGCAACTCGTACATACAGCGTATGGAGTAGATTGTTTATTTATGACGGACACACATTACTAACTCCAACCTGGTACTTCCAACACAGTAAGTGGTAGTACATCAAGTTCACCCTGAATCATTACTTCGTTTTCGACTGCATAGTAAATAGAACCAATAGAAACACACACACACACACACACACACACACACACACACACACACACACACACACACACACACACATACACATATATATATACACATATATATATACAAAAATCAGCAACTTGCTTCGCACTACCAGTACCAAACAGTACATATATACATAACTACTATATGGCTGAAATGATACTACTTACTCATTTCTCGCAGGATCTGGGTGAGTTAAGTCAGTAGTAGGTTGGGAGTGAGCTGAGCTGAGCTGAACTGACAGCAATAGAATAACTTATTTATATTGTAAATACTAGTCATTAATGATATCTGAAATAGCAGGCCCACGCAGAGGAAGAAATACCTACTGACTGCTATGTATATATATATATATAATATACATGATTAATACTATTGGGATGAGGTTTCGAGGGTCCTTGAAAAGTGATGTTGAAAAGTGCGGAGTATGTAGTACAATAGTAACTTTGGGTTTGTTGTTCTGTCTGTTAGTACTAACTAGTTATGCTTATATAAATCTACTAGGATGTACCGGCGCCTCATGCGATTATGCAAGTTTACGAAAAGAGTCCGTCATGTCTATTCATAGTCTATCCATTTATTGCTTCAAAAGTCTATCCAAGTCGTCGTCTTTCTTCTCTCGTTTCGAACAAGGTTCCATCTACGCGTACAACACCGCATACAACCGCATATTCAGCTGATCGTACATATGCATACACACATCAAGCGCGTCCCAACCCCTGTGGAAAATCCAAAATATTCAGAGGGTCCCACTTCTTCTTAATCCCCTTCAACCGGTCCAAAGCATCCCCATAATACATCTCTGCCCAGTCCTGCAAATATGGGTCGATATAATTCTGATATGCCTGCCAACCACCCTCAGGATCGGCCTGGCGCACCACATCCGCGACATCGGAAAGCCTGTCAACTGCAGTCTCCCGTGCTGACGCATTTGTAAACCCCGGGAAATCCCAAGCATATATTTGCGACATGAAGAGGTTGTTTCGATGATTGAAGGCCATGGGCCCGACAGTGTCATCCGGGGGAAGGGTGGTGACGGCATCTGGACCGTTCAGGTCGAAGGAGATAAAGGCATCAGGCCCGGCAGGCTGGATGGCGGAAAATATATTCGCGATGGAGGTGCTAGTGTAATTAGGGTGACCGTCGTCGAAGAGGGATTTGGCGTAATAGGGTTGTGGAACAGACGGGGAGTCGAGGTCACCCATGAGATTGGTGAGAGCGGAGACCCAGTTTGTGTAAAAGGAGCTGGTGGTTGTGAGGGGCTGAATGGACTGGCGTGCGAGTGAGGAAAGGAGGCGGTCGATAGTTCTGTTGTAGGCGGCGGAATCGCCGAGGTATTGGCCAGTGAAGGTGCAATAGGCCTTAGGAGCCTGATAGCCACCATCTATGATGAGTTCTCCACCCAGAGAGGTTGGAAAGCCGGCGGAGGAGGTCGCCGGTAGGGATCCGATCTCTTGTAGGGTTAGAAGGACCTGTACGCAGTCTGACTGAGTCGCGAAGCCAATGTTGTAGTTAACGATGGCCGTTGGAGCGGGTTCCATGCGGTAGGTGAACGAAGTCACAATTCCAAAATTGTTGGAGCCAGCACCGCGAAGTGCCCACCAGAGGTCATCATTCTCGTCGTCCGTAGGTGTGGTATTGGACTTTGCCGCCTTAGGGCCGATCGTTCGGATGCGGCCGGTCACGTCCACAAGCTCCAGTGAGACCACTTGCCATGAAATTAGCTTTGACCTTGGCGAAAGGACTCGAACAAATCATTCAACTTACCTCTGTCTACTAGCCATCCCCACTCGCGAGAGGTAAACCCCCAGCCACCCCCCAGACTGTGCCCAGCTACCCCCACCCCCGGACAGGTGCCATGAGGCAAGGCATATCCCGCGCGACCCATGGCCAGAGCCAGCGGGCCAAGCTTCTGACCCATTTGCACGGTTACCTCCTGTGTGCTCTCGTCGAGGGCAATGTCGGTCATCTGGCTGGAGTCAATGACGACCTGTCCTGAAAGACTGTACGCAGCATAGCCATGGCCACCGCCACGGGTCGTGAGAGTGACCCGACCCTGCTCGGCTGCCACGCAGCGAACCGTAGCAGCAACTTGTTCGGTTGAATTTGGAATGACAACGGCTTGAGGATGAGGGTGGTAGTTGCTGTTGTCTGCCACCGTGAGATTCGAGTACCCAGCATCTGTGGCGTACACAACGGAGGCGCCCGTGGCTCCTAGACAGGATTCAAGGGTTCTCGGCAGCGCGCCATTGTTGGCCGTTGCGGGGGAGGAGATGTTCCCAGGGTTCTGAGGTAGGGCTGCGAGTTGACTGGGCAGCGCCAACAAGACTGCTGCCGTGAATATGACTGGAGGAGCCATGACGTGAATTATAAAGGTGGGTGATACAGTGGTAAACAGGACCAAGGTGCATACCAAGGACTGGTGCAATGTCCTTGGCCGGTTTCTTTGGGGGAAAATCGAGGAAATGTAAGGGGTAGCGGTGTGCACTAAGTCAATTCGCGGTTCAGATCGGCGGGAAAAGAAATGGGAAAGATGCCATATTATCAAGGGGTACGCTCATTCCGGGGGATTTGATGTGTCTCAGAGGCGCCGACAGATATAGAAGTCATTCTCAGATCTCTCCCCAATACGCCTTCCGCGGCTGTAACTCCACATACATTCCTTCCTCCGCATGCATCTCCTTATCACCCACCAGAGTCACATCTCCCCCTCTACCCCTCCAAATTATCCTTTAATCGACGGATAAGAGTCTCGCCCGTCGGGCTTCATCTGAGACATACCTGCATCCCTGTCTATCCTGCATTGCCTTCGTTGTGGGTGCTTTGTTGGACGCAATGATCACCGTTCCAAAATCAGCCAATGTTCCTTTGCTAGCCCTCAGTCATCACATAAGCACAAGGTATTATTGATACAAGGCCGGAAGTCGGGCAGAAGGGTGACCGATAATGAGCGGCCGGCAGTCTCGGCTCGCATACAAAACACGGAGAAACTACTGAGTGGACAGTGCCTCCGTCCACCATCTATCTAACAGCTTGCCAATACGATGCAGAATTAGAAGTCTTGCAAGGCGAAGCAGGCGCGCTGACATATTGCAGGGGCGGGAGGCTGTATGGAGCGGTCAGGACACCCGTTAGGCCCGACATCTGAATCCTGCGCGGCTGTGTAGTGATATCACACTGGCCGGTGTTGAATCAGCCGCAACAGGCTCACACGCATACGTGAGTTGTCAGCCTAGTATTGACGGTCGCACCAGAAGGCGCCATAAGACCTGACTCAGCTTATGCAGGAATTTGGCCCAACAAAGTGCCAAAGATGTCGTGACTCAAGAGCCAGCATCGATTTCTGGACACATCGCGTAAAGCTCACAATAACACTGTTGGACATCGGGGCATCTGACATATTGAGTCAGCATTTTTCTTTCCATTTTGCACCAGATAGATTTCACAGCACATACGAAACAGGCTGCTCAAGGAAGATGATATGCCAGAGCATCTCAAAGACCGACCCCGCCGCAAAATTATCCATATCGGTCGCCAAAGCCCAGTCGCGTATTCGCACATAGTCATCTCGTGGCCGTTCCCGGATCCGGTCCCTTGTTAGTACAAATTGACCACAACAGACCCCACCGATCTCGGTAGGGACCTGGTCCCGCGGCACGGAGAACATGTCCATGTAGATAGAGGTGAAGTTGCGATACACCACGTTATGATTCGACTCCATGGCTGGATCAAAGGGGCGCACGGCCACGGGACATCCTGGGCGGTGCTCACAGCGGAGATTTGCATACCCAGCCTTGTTCACGGCGTCCAGGCTGAGTTTTTGAAGCAGTGAAGATGAAGCCATGTCGCCAACATCGTTATGCCACTGAGTGGCGGAGGCATGCATGAAAGCCGTAACATCGGCAAGGTAGTCGTAGTGTTCAATGATGTGCGTCAGGTATGCCATGCCCTCGCGGGCCTTGTTTGCCGGGATAGGACGGTATCCAGGCTCTTTGTCGGAGGTGTAGATGTAAGGTTTCCAACTACCCAACTGGTGAGCATGCCGTGACAATGATCCGACCGGGAGAAATTGAGCCTAGTTCACTTACTGGGGCTTGAGAGCGTAGGCCCAGGCGACATCCTCAGAGCTAGTTTTGGCCAGAACCAGTGCGTTCGGTTTGCGCCTGGCCGGATGTTTCTCGACTCGACCTGCATAGCGTTAGCTACCCCGGTGATTTCAATACCGAGCCTGGAGGTGGAATCGTACTCAAAACTAAAGTGAGATCATCCTTCAACAGTCTGATGTACAGTAGAGCCAGGAGCCCTAAGCAAAACATGGTGAAGCACCATGTATACAGGCGCCTGGAGCACATGAACAGACCCAGCGATTGGACCATTTTGTGCAGATCCCACTCACGGGGGAATAATTCGGGCTTCGAAGACGCTGGTGTCTTTGAAGTGATCTCACCCGAGGCCGTTGGGGAGGGAGTAAATGGGAGGGTTAATGACTAGGCTCAGCCTTGCATGATGGTTCTCGCATTAAAGTTTGGAGACCCTGCAGCATCGGGGTTTGCGAAGGTGGCTTTGCTGGTCAGCGAGGCCACACGCGCATTGCAGAGGAACCCCAGCTCTGTCAAGATAAGTCTCCGACAGACAGCGGGTGAATTAATTGGGATGAAAGGTTGGAAGAATAATGACGATCGATGATGATGATGATGATGATGATGATGTTGACGCTGATGTTGATGATCGTCGGAGGAAAGCTGGCGAGGTCCGATTCGGGTGAGAACCCAAGCCGCGTGTCACAACAGCCGAGGGAGGGGGAGGAGTGGGATTGGATTATGAGAAGCTGACTGACAGTCAGCCACTCGCCAACAAACAAACAAACAGAATTAATTAATTACTACTCACCCGCAGTCCAACCGATAGCTTCAGCAACGGATCAAGTAGAGCGACCGCCTGGCAACTTATTATTTTTTTTTTCTTCTTTTCTTCTCCGCTCCACGTATGGAAAGACAGCGAAATAGAATGTTGACCGACGAGAAGAAAGAAAGAATCTATAAGTCGACTAAGCAATAAAAGGGTTTCTTTCCGCTGGGTCCCGGGATCCAGCCTTGCGTATGGCGAGGGTCTAGACCCCCTGGGGGCCGCGAATCATTCCGACCAGAAAACTGGGGACGGGAACCACTCCCCAGTGCTGGGGCCAACTATTTACATGGTCGATGGGGACGAGCGCGGGAAATAAATGAATTCTCTCGGTTACACGTCGGTCTATATATATCTTATCTACAACTCTCGTGTCTATCGAGATTGGACTAGCGATATGCACAGCAAAGGGGAAGATATTCTCGGGTATAAAGCAGAAGATCACCGCTGAAAATCCGGGAGAAAATGAGTGATACTTGGAAAACAGAACTATCCCACTCGGCTGGCTCGGTCGCAGTCCAAAGGATATAGCATCGTATGAGGGACACAATCATTAGATACTGGCGCGACGGGGCGCCAGAGTCCGCTGGAGCTTCTTCTTCTCCTCGGTCTCTTCGGGAATCGGAAGGGATCCCTCGCGCTTCAGCTTCTCCAAGTAATTCTTGCCATACGCATATCCCAGCTGGTAGATCTCGTCAAACTTCGCAAAGTCCAGGGTCCCGTATGGATCAATGGGCGGGCGCATGTACAGACACCCAGGGGTGTTCTTGGCACGTTCGAGGTTCTCAATCGAGGACACATACGCCAGGCGCGCCTGGATTTCAGACAACGTAGGCGGGTTAGGGCACGAGCTAAACGGATTCCAGCGGTTCACCACGGCCCAAAACCCAGACAGGGAGTCGCCATACCCTTGCGGGGTGTTGTCGTCAATCGAACCCACGTCCACCGCAAAGATCACATCCGCACCCAGCCCTTTCATATGGTCGACCGTAAGATTGTCAATGTAGCCGCCATCAAGGAGCATACTACCTTCGTCGCAGATGGGCGGGATCAAGCCGGCTAGTGACATGGATGCTCGTACGTACCGCCACGTGTAGCCGGAAGAGTGATATTCGGCACGCGACCGGCTAATGTTGGTGGTGTTGCAGTAAAACTCGAGCCAGAAGTCCTCGATCTGACTATCCCCAAAGGTCTTGAAGATGCCACGGTTGAACTCATGCCCAGTGGTATAGGAGACAGTAGGGTATGTCAGGTCCAAAGCAAATCGCCAAATGCTTCCCATGCGGCCAGCAAACTTCTTGGCACGGCCATACATGGGCACAACGTCAGCATCCCGTGCATACAGGGCTCCGATGAAAGAACCAATCGAAGTGCCGCCAATGATATCAATGGGAATGCCCGCTTCTTCTAGAGCCTTGATTACACCGACTTGGGCAATACCTCTGGCACCTCCACCACCAAGCACAAGCCCCACTGACCGGCCGCAGAGCCGACGCGCCAAGCGATGGAAGTCACCCTTGAATGGTGTCTGTGCAGAGTATAGCGGCGATTGACGGATACGGCGAGAAGTGTATTTCTGGATCTCAGCTTGAATAACTTGGACTCTCTGCTTCAAGACGGTTCCGAAACGTTTAGTCTGGGGATGAGAGGGTTCTGCTGTCAGTCGGAAGGCCATCTGTACATGATGATGGCCTCCATTGATCCAAACACGATTCTTCAACCACTGGCGGGTCAGTCCCGGAGGGCAGTACCGTTCACCATGCAACAGGACTAATTCTTTCCGAGCGGTCGTTTTCATCCCAAGCAGAAACCTCTCGTATTCACCGATACTAGGCGTCGACTCCGCAAGGCCAACCAGCAAGATGCAGTCGGCCTGTGTAATACATGTTTGCGTCCACGGTGAATTCACAGTCGTATCCGCAATATAGAGGACCATGCCGTACTTCTCCTCCAGATCTGCCAGGTACTGTGATAACTTTAGTTTACCCATCTTACTGAAGGCATGTCTGCCTAGATGGTTCAGAATAGCCGCTTGATTAAGAGACGTAGCGCCGTTGACCACCCCAATCTGGTGAAGCGCCTGTAGCAGCCTGTTGCCAAATTCAACGACGGGTACTCCTGCCGTTACAGGAAGGATGCCAACAGTACGAAGATTGAGAGTCGACTTTGCCGTCTTCACTGTGCCAGAAGCACCAGGTTCACTTCCCTTCTCGGCCACCGGCGTCTCAACTAAGTCCCGCATCCGTTGTGCAATGAGTTTGGAGACCTGAATAGTGATTCCCGGATGTTCTTGGGCGAGACTGTTGAAGAGAGTCCGGGGAAACTTGGCGAGTTCAGTATCGCGGATGGCATGGAGAGTCGCCGGGCGAGTCGATTCGGTCATCACCTCCAGTTCACCCACACTTTCTCCCTGGCCGTATTCACCGACAACGGTCATCTTGCCATTGGGGCCTTCATGTACAGACCGCAGACGCCCATTCAAAGCAAGATAGATGGCATCGCTCTCGTCGCCCTGGTGATAGATCACCTGGCCAGCACTTACTTGCACCCATTCCAGGGCGAAGTCGATATGGAGAAGTAACCGTGGGAGCAGACTGGTCAGCCGCTTTGCCAACGTCAACAGGGCCAAAGGGTACCGCTCCGCTATCCTTTCCAAAGACGCCCGTGGAAGGAATCCTACGTATACATCTGTCTTCGCAACAACATCGGTATACGAGCGGTAAGATGCGACAGCGCCCACATAGCCTTGGATCCCACCGGGCTTAATCAGATAGAGTGACTTCCGTGACTGCTTCTTCCGCCTAGGATCATTTGCAGCGGCTGCCGATCCCGAGACACGAGAGGAACTCGTGTTGGTGCGTCTGAGCGTAGGGAACAGTTCCTCATGTGCCGGTCTGGAGGATCCCACGAGGTCTTCTTCCTTGTCGTCCACGGGAATACCAACATCCAAGAAACCATCAACAACGTAGTACAAGCCCGGATGGCGCTCGCCTTGCTCAACAAGAACCGAACCCTGAGGGAAGTAGACGATTTCAATGTCGTTTCGGAGCTCTTCCCTCAAGTTGACAATGGGCGAGGTGCCACCGGCACTGGTAACGGACATGGACATCATGGATTCGCTCTCACCATCCGCTGAGCCTTCGTAGGGATCAATAAACCCAAACGCGTTGTTGCTAAAGACGGCTTTCTGGCGGCGAGAATCATACGAGAGGAGCTTCGGAGACACGTCGCCTGACGGGTGACTACTCTTACGCAAGAAGTCATTGGTGCTTCCGGTCAAGCCGATGCCTTTCATAATGCACTCCAAGATCGATTCACGGAAGAGCGCATCTTCGTCCAAAGACTCTTTCCGGTGAAAAGGAGATGCGCGTCCCGGGATCATTGGAGACGGGGACCGTAAGGGGGAGTGTTCTTTCTCCGTAAGAGGACTCAGTAACCGGGGGGCAAGGTGCTCGTATCTCGGACCGAAGCGGGAAAGCTGAATGGTAGATAGAAGATCTCCAGGACTCACACCAGAGTTTTCGCGATCACTCAGTGCACTATCCTGAGCAACCATGGAGACTGGCCGTTTAGACGCGGCCACCTTTGCCTGAAGAGCGGCTTCCTTCCTTCGAAAGCTACTCGACCGGGGTCTTCGCCCTCCATACGGGTTATGCAACGCGATCCCTTTGGTAACTTCTTCTTGACCAAGGCGATCTCGCTCTTTGATGAACTTATCCTTGAGACGGTCTAGAGCAGATCCACGCAGCTCATTTGGCAAATCGTAGGTTGTGAATTTTGTCATCTGCTTCTCTATTCCCAGCACCTCGTTATTTAGACCCAGATAGGAGTGCGCTGTAGCGAAGGTGACTCTCTGTAGGCGCGTAAGGATAACCTGGACGATATGGGCAGTCGCTTTCGGGTATACTCGGGTCAAGCGTCGGAATGCGCTTGCGGGGATGATCGCGATTGTCGTATCTACCATCGCTCGTGCAACGATATCTGGATGCACTGACTTCCTACGCGTTTTGCCCGAGTACTTTCTGCTTCCAGAGCGAGCAGAGTGGGCAGGTGGAACTTGGCTTTCGCCCAGATTTAATGGTGGCACAGCCGGTAGGTCTTCGGCCGTGCTGTTCCTGTGAGAGGCCGGGTCAAGACGATCTCCTTGATAAACATGGGGAGAGTCGTCCATTTCCCGAGGGCTCGCCGGAAATGAGTCGGGGCCAATGGCAAGACCAGGACCTATACTAGAAGCGCTGGAAGCTGAGCTATCCGCATATCGTAATTGGACATCCTCGGTAAACAGCGACAAGATGGAAAACAGCGAGGACATCGAAGCTCCATTCTTCACTTCGGTAAGCAGCTGATACCCCTGCCTTCCGTCCGGTCGGTGGTCGTCTTCGTCGGAAGATTCACCTGCCATGCGGTTCAACTCTTCGTCTGTGCCCGACTTCCTGTCCCGCATGGACTTGACGAAGATTTGAACCAAGCCGTCAACAACCAAACAGAAACCTTTCTCTTCCTCCAGCAGGAGCGTTTCGCCGGCGATCAACTTCCTTGTCTGCATGGTGCGGGTCAATTCGTGGAACACAGGCCGCTCGAGGTAGCCG